GGAACAATGGATCCAGAGAGATGTGTAAAACCACAATGGTGGAACAAGCTACCACATGGCATCAGAGCAGGGGTGTCCCTCTCTAACTTCAAGAAGCTCTTGAAAACTCATCTCTTCGAAGAACACTTTCTCTTATAACTCCTAACTTCTAACATGCACTTCCTGTGCTCTTCTTCATTTATCTCCTTACAATTCTCTTGTATTGATTGCACTATTTTGTTAACTCTTCTTTTCCTGGGTGTTTATCCCATTGATGCCATATGTGCTATTAGCTCATACTAGTATGTATTGTATTTTTGTAGATCTCTTGCTGTACTGATACTTTGTTGACGCTTGTTCCTCAAATTTAAGTCACTTTTGTCTGCCAAATGAGTAAATGTAATGTGAAGGAAGAGGTTGAGGACACCTGAGAGGAGGAGAAGAGCAGAAGGGAGAGGAACAGGAGGAGGAGGTGGAGGACAAGATCCTCTGGCTTGTCGCAGACCAAAGACGGGATGCTGGGGCAGAATGATTTTTTTGTTGTTTGGTGTGTTGTACTGTATAGTACACTAAGGAATGAAAATGTGCAAATGTACATTTGTTGTTTCTTTTGTTGTGTTCATCATGTGAAAAGGTTTTTGAGGTGAAGAATCACAAGCAACATTACTCATAACCAGTTTTTGTAGTATTGTTTTGAATTTATCTCACAGTGTGTAAGACTGTTGTAGTGCTTGTGTGTTTTTGAGGTCTTGTGTGTCATGGCTGAGGGCAAAGTTTGGTTTTTCAGCAAAATTCAATGGTTTTAAGTGGAGAGCTTCATTTTGACCTGAAAATAAGAATTTGGAGAATTGGGTGAGACGTTATTGAGAGTTTTGAGAAAAGGAGGCATAATTTCAAGAAATGTGTCTAAGCAATCAAGAAAAACTGTAATATATCTAACTAAAGAAACCTCATTTCTTGACTGGCTACTCTCTGCTGTCTCAGATGATGACATCTTTTGTCCTGTGTCACCCACCGTAGCTATGAAATGGGGGGGGGGTGCAGTTGGTTGCAACCTCACTGCTAGATGCCACTAAATCTTACGCACTTAAGTTGATTGACACTGAACTTATTAGACAAGTTTGACACATCCATCAGTCACAGAGCAACATTATCATTCATTTGGAGTCCAATATTCACTCTCTTTTAGTTTTATCTTTGGTCTTGTATCTTGCTCTTGGGAAATATCTTGCTCTTTAGCTGCTAAATGTTCCAGTATGTTCACCAGCTAGTCACTAACTGTGTCTATTTGTTGTTTGGTGCAGCGCAGGTAGTGTACAGTTGATTTTTAGAGCTTTTTACTGAGAAAAATCTGCCTTGTGCAGCTAAAAATGACACTATGAGAGCAGTGAAAGTGAATCGAAACAGGACAGCTAAACAATGAGCTAAAACTAGCTACAAAGCTCAAAAAAGTCACCTTTTGTCCACATTTGACTCACTGTTGTTATGAAAAGTTAATTTTTTGGGGGGGACAGGGGGTCAAAAACAAACTATAAATAAGATGCTTACAGAGTTGCAGTACTAAAGAAACAAATATGTGAATTAATTTATGATTTAGTTAATTTATGATTAATACAATCAAATAAAATCAAACTCTTTACCATATTGAATTGCATAGCTTATGCTCATTATTTTGCCTCATGTCATATCACATTGAATCACATTGTGTTGAATAAGATTAAGTCAAACTGCATTGGTAGTTGCTTCACATGTATCTGATCGTTGGCAATGCATCAAGTTGCATATTGCACCAGCCTCAGTGATAGAGATGCACATCCCTAATACACACACACACACACGGGTAACAGGAACCATAGCGTAAGTACAGATAAATAGCTCTCACAGTCACACAGGTGAGATAAAGCTTTGGTGTGATATATGGCTAGATTAGGTAAATCCCTCAGGCAACACTGAGGATCAGTGAGGTGCTTCACATCACAGTTATTTCTAGTGTGTATTACAACACACACATATTCACACAGAACACACACATACTGTATTATCTGCAGACGGGCACTAATTCATTAGTCCTTGGACTGTTCATATTTGCATAAAAGCACCAAAGCTTTCACAAAATAGTTTGATGCAGTGAACATCTTCTGAACTGAATACATTACAAAATAAATTTTCCCCACCACAGAGGCAGAACTGACTGTGATGGCATTGATAGTTTTATCTACCACTTGCTCAGGGAATACACAACAGAATATTTTACACACAGAAGGAAATTTAAATGATTTCTTTTATGTATACAGTGAACTAAGGAAAGTTTTTTTTATTTATTTATTTATTTTTTACATCTAATGATGATCAGGCAAATGGGAAAAGTGCAAATGTTATCTCTCTCTCTCTCTCTCACACACACACACACACAAACGCTGAGATACATGCTTATGAAGTTGTACTGAAATAATAGCAACAAGGAAACAGACAAAGCTTGTTTGTGAGCAGCTTCATAGGATTTTAAGGTTGTACTTTTAGCTAGGTTTCTGCTTGTGTGCTTGACATGGTTGGCATTAAAGGCTCACTAATTATGAACTAACTGAATATCTGCTTAAATAATACTTTTGTTTTTGCTTTTTAAGTTCACAGTCACAATAAAACAATGGTGTGATAATCTTGCTCTCTTAATGTGATAAATTTCCTGTTTTTGACAGAATGCAGCAGGGAGTCACCCCTAGCGAACCTGTTTAAGGCTGCTATGGCTGTGGGTACCAAAGTGAGCTTTTCTGCCATTGGCGTAGGTTTTCAACATTGGAGGGGACGCATTTCAAGAAGGGGGTCTGAAAAACCTGCATTCTGGTGAACTTTTCTGTACCAAAGTCTTTTCTGCATTAGTTTATGGTGGGAAATTGTATTGTATCTTTATTTATGTAAAGGGAAACATAAAATGCAGGTGGTGGGTGAAAATTCTAAATAAAAAAATATAATTTAATATAATGCAGGGCTCTCAGACATTCTGTATTGCTTTTATAATATAATAATAATTATTATTTGTAGAGCACTTTTCAAAAACAAGTTACAAAGAGCTTTAACAAGTGTAAAGACAATAATACAAAAACAATAAATGATAAAAGCAAGAAAACATTGAAAAGACTAAAATACACATTTAAGATAAATATAAAATAAGTAAAATTGAATAAAATAAAAGGGATAAAATAAAGTCAAAGAAGATCAGGAAAGGCTCTCCTATAAAAGTATGTTTTAAGAAGGGACTTAAAAGAGTTCACTGACTCAGCCGACCTGATTTCCTCGGGCAGGCTGTTCCAGAGCCTCGGGGCCCTGACAGCAAACGCTCTGTCCCCTTTTAGTTTTCAGTTGAGACTCTGGAACAGACAACAGACCTCTTCCCGAGGATCTCAAGGTACGTGCTAGTGTGTATTATCCTGTATACTGTAAACTTTTCTCATGTAATATCATCCCCGCTGTGTCAGCACACATGTAGGCATGATTTAGTCTTCCCTCCTCTTAAGTGTGCTTAATTTATAACCCCCTGGACTTCAATAGCTCCTTTGTTTCAAGTGTTCTGCTCATGTTCAAAACTTTCTCTACATTCAAAATCTATCATACATATCTGTGTTCTCTGACATTTTCAGAATAATGTCATAATACCTTTTTTTTAAGGTATGGGCCTACTCTGCTGTACATTAGCCTACATTATTGTTCTGCTGATACTGAAGTATCCCCTTGAGACCGTTTGGGACTGTACTGGAAAAGAAAAGTGCGCTGCTCTTCATTGGAGTTGGAAAAGGGAACAGAACTGAAAACACTGCTCAGGTATAAATCTCACCATAAAAGCACATAGTTGTTACCTTTATCACCACCAGTAAAGTGCAGCTCACAGCCGATACACTGCAGTCTAAACTTTTTTAAATTCTAAATAACTGTAGACTTCCAGGAAATACTAAAACATGCACGTATGACTTGAAGTAACTTACTCTATTATGACTTCTGAATTCTCAAAATCTCAGATGACTATTATTTTTTGGCCTTAATAATCTTGCGTAGCTCACAATCAACTATTCCACCTTTTGGTTTATTTTCAGCTTTATTGGCATGAATGTATAACAACTCTCACTAATTAGCTGGATAGTCGCTGGACATTGGGAGGGACGTGTGCCTACCAAATTCTACACCCTTGTTTTCTGCACCTCAGCTATCTGTACCTGTACCCAGAGGGCAGTTCAGTGAAGTGATGATTAAGTTGGTGTGTGGTATTCTGTGCTATTGTATCTGCAATGTGTGTGAAGGCCTTACAATTGAGCTCTGAGAGGTTGGATGTGGGGAGACCTATAATGCTGGCAGCAGTGTTGGTTATTTGTGTGAGTTTGACCTCGTTTGTGTCAGCGAACATGTTGAAGAAAAAGGAGGAGCAGTAGAGCAGGATGGATTGTACAACAAGAGAAAGGTGGTTGTACTGGATGAGAGTGAATGGGCAAGACCGTTGAAAATGGTTTTAGTTAGGGCTTTATTTTGTGGTTACTGTTACAGCATCAGGTCACCATCAGGTCACCATTTAAGATAGATTGTTTTTAGGACGGAGATGGAACGGGGTTGCCTTACGAGACAGTAAATTATTGTAAATCTGTGTACATTTTGGCAGTAAGTATTAGAATAAAGAGGTTTTGTGGAACAGTTTGCAATGAGGGACACTTTCAGGGCAAGCACATCTATTTACAGACAACCTGGGACCTTGTTGTTTTGGACACTGTCTCTGCAGTCATCAGGTCCCCATGCCATTCATGCACAAAGTATATTATAATCTGATAGTGACCTAGAGTGAAGATGATGCAATGTGCACAGTGGGAAGGTGTTTTTGCAGATTCCTCTAATTAAGCGAATTGCTGTCGTCGTCAAATTCTGCTTTAGGTATATTTCTTTGAGACAAATTTTGACAAGAGATCATTACAGCAGTTTTCAAAGCATTACAGACAGTAATGAAGATAGATAGATAGATAGATATTGATAGAAGTTGTATGTACCTGGTATACTGTGTCTTCTCGAGGCCATGGTCTGTTCTGGTCCAGAGATGTCCTTTGTTTTTCCATATGGCCCGTCATCTAGAAAGAACAGAAACACACAATGAAGACTTAGATGTATCAATAAACTTTATTTTTTTAAATTAAAAACCTGTCCTTGTTTGTCCTTGTAGCATTAAAAATAAATAGTATATATGACTGCATTTCAAAACATTGAAAAAATTGTGGTTCTCAAAGTGTACAGATACTCTAACCTTAACCCTTACCCTAGTTAGTGATCCTATTTGTTAAATCAGAGCTCAGAGTACTGGGGGAGTGTTAGTGTTTGTTCACATTGCTAGCACATGATCTGTGGACCACTGTGGCCAGTTTGATGATAGGGAATGTAGTACCATGTTGATTTACAGTGGCTCCGACCATGACTCTGACTCTAGGGACAATGAAGACATGGCAAGACTGTGATGTTACACTTTGTTGAAATGAATGAACAAAATGTTCAGTCTCCTTGCTGGTTGTTCTGACACATTCAGAATCATTCCCACTTGTCATAAACAGGCGGCTCCCTCACAGCTAGTCACTGTAACTACCTTTCAATAGTTTGATGCATTAGTAAATGCACAGTAAAGTTGGTAAATTCACAGTGAGGCCATTTGTGAAGTGCTGATGAAGTTAGTCTCCTCCCGGCTTGCACAGTGAAGCAGAGGCCATCATTGTTATATGGTTTGTTATGGGGGGAGCAGATGTCCTGCTTTACAGTCTCTAGCAGAGACTTTTTGGCAGAGATGTGAGGTGTGGGGATTTTAATATTTGATAAGTTATTATCAGTAACAGTTCTGCTGAGATTTCCGCTGATGTCTTTTTAAAACTGCTCTTCTTAACTGCTGAATTAACTGCATGGGCTGGATCCCATGGTCCTGATCACTTTCTAACTCCAATGCTAAATTGCCATCCAACCAATCAGTCAGCCAGCCAGTAAATACATCAACCAATAAAAGGCACTTTGGAGAGGCAGACAGGAAGGTCAAAAGGAAAAGAAAAAACAGAGGCTGTGATGCAGGGGACAAAATAAATCATTATAGAAAACAGCAATGTAGTAATATAATGCATGTCTTATTGAATATTTTATGATGGTATTACTTTCCTTTCCTACAGCTGATACGGGTTAGCATGTTGTTGACAATAACATAAAATCTTTTTGAACATAATGTCATGGATGTGAATCACTTGAAACCAGGCTGAGAAAATGGAATCCAATAGCAGGGCTGCAGTTTTAGTTCTGCAGGTGTGGACCTATAAGGCATGTAAGAGCTTCAGGTATTTTGACACACAAGCCACCTGCAGACAATAATTTTCAATTGTTTCTTTCTTTCTTTCTTCCAGGACTGCCCTATGTACTTAGTTTGGAGAAGGACGGAGGAAGGTGCATAGAAATAGAGTGCGGGATGATAGTTGTCATGTATAATAATTTCATTTTTATATTATATATTTTATTTTACATAAACTGAATTTAATGTCCACTTGAAGGTCATGTGACACAATGCTATTGAACATTGGACATTTTTATTTCTGAGAGTTAATAATTTTAGTTATTAAAGAGTCATGAACATTTATTCTTAAGCACTTTTCAGATTTATTTGTACATATTTTAAGGTCTCATCCATAATGTATGTAGGGTATTAAGTATTTTGCTAACGCACATTCTTTAACTCAGTTTGACAGCAGCTGGAGCTGCGGCTGTTGTTGTAGCTCTAAGGGGAGAGGATGTGTCCTACTTTACAACCTCTGCTCCATCACAAGGGTGGGGTGAGTTTAACAATTCATAAGGCAATTCTCAACTACTTTCATATCCTACTCCAGAAGTGTCATTAAGTTGCATTATAATCAAGGGCAATTACACCACATCTTAAACATAAATGTCGCTGTTAAACTTGCAGAATAAATATGCATTTTGCTTTTCAGCACCTGAAGAAGCATTAAAACCAGCTTACTATCATCAACAGAGTTAAGCAGTTGAAAAGGATTTTAAAATGCAGTGTCCTGCAAAATCCTTTATGTTCTAAGTTTAATTCCTCTTTAAATGGCATTCACATTCTTTGCAAGTCTGCCTTTAAGTCTCAATTTCACTGTAGCAAATTCACTGCAATAGTTACTTTGTTTTTTAGCTATTCACTCAAGCTCCTGTATGTTGGACATATTTCACAATACTGTCACCAAGCTTAACTGGTGGTTTTAAAATTTCTATACTGACAAAAGCTCCGATCCTAAACATTGCAACAGATAAATCTTTCACTGTTGAGGCTTTTGTCAAAGCTGGACAAGAATTGGTGCCATTTTTTTCATGCTCTGAATCTTTGAGCTTCTTTGACAACTCTGCTTTCAGAGCTTTTTAATTCATAATTTCTTATGTTATCACATGTAGACAATCATTTTTCTCCCCATGTTCCATGAGCCTATGGGCTGTTGGATGCATTGATTATTGTTGTGACCCTGGCATTCTGTCTTTCAGACTGGCTGTTATACAATGCATAACCCAACATAAGGCAGTTTTCTTATGTTCTCTACTTAAGTTCGATAAATGAAAAAAAAACGTTTATGAGCTAGACAAGCTGTTTCGGAATAGAGATTATTGCGACACACTGAACTTTAAAATTTCCACAAGGAAATCTATGTAACTTACAGCATTAATTGATTTGGTCATTTGTGGGCAGCAGAATAACCAACAGAAACAGCATTGACATATTGTTAATAAAGAAAATGGAGAAACATAAACATTCATTTAATCCAAAACAGAAAACCAAATGACGAGTTGACATTAAAATGCCCCCTGAGCTGAGGGACACTATGGGGCACTTTACACATTACACATAGTCATTTGATCCATTGTTGATATAAAATATTGATGCAGTGCAGCTATAAAAATCAGCTCAGTTAATTTACATTGGGTTAGCCGGCTGGCTAGAAACAATGGAGTTTTAGCAAAGAACCTGTTCATGTTTGTACATCTATCCTACCTAACCACAAACTTCCCAGCCCACTTTTTTCCTTCTGCACACCTTGTGTTTGATGGCAGCAAGTGTTCACTGCCAATGTTTTTTTCTTAATATATATATATAAAACAAATCATGGCCGACACAGGTTTGTCATAGGACACATATCTGGGAAGCAATGCTATATGATTTCCATATTCTTTATCATGTTCTCCCTCACATGAAGACAATGTAAATATAAAACAAAAGCTACTACTATTTTTCTACCGTACAACAAGTAGTTGTATGGTAGAAAATCGTCCTGTCTTCCCAATATATAAAGTGTTTTCCCTCACAAATTTCCAAACACCTTTGAAATATGCAGCTTTCCCACTGGTAATGCTTAGAAATCAGTTCACTTCCCAGCAGTGACAGTGGAAAGGAGGCCATTGTTGTTGTGTTTTGTAGTTTAGCAGTCTTCACAGAGGTGTAATGAGTTTAATAATTCATAGGTTGTGGATTCAATTTAGCTTGAAACCGCTTTCATAAGTTATCTGGCTGGCTGCTTCCTGCTATAGGGCTGTCACAGGCATAATGGACCCCAGAGGCTGCTCATCACACACACACACACACACACACACACACACACACACACACACACACACTAACATGCATGGCCTCTAGCAGCTGAGAGTGATGAATACCCAAATGGATTTACATGTTCATAGACACACAAAAGACACAAAATAGACTTAAATATGTGGATACAAATACCTGTCCTACATGCACTGTTATATAAACAGTAACTTGCAGACACACAGTGGGGTATAAAGAACGCTTTAAGGAACTTTTGGCCGTCTCTGTGACTGGATGTAAGACAAACTAGTTTTAGTCACAACTTTTTTCCTCCAGCGGTATGAATCCTAGCCCTAGTTCTCCAAACCCACAAATTTCTCATGCCAGTTCCTTGGTGGCTGAGGTATCAGCACACTGCAAACACATTTGTCACAGCAGGTGTTTGGAAGCATAACACATGATCTGTTAGCACTAATAGTCTTTTTGAATGGACCTACAAATCAGCTTCACTCTGACGCATTTTCTTTTTAAGGTCTCTTTCCAGTATCTTTTCTCTCGGTTCTCCTACTCTGCCTGATAAATTAGTGTCTCCTGGTGAATAATTTGAATGTGATTAGGCTAATGACTACTGGCGCTGTCAGCTTACTGAACAGGTTGAGTTATAGACGAGATGTCGGGCCAGATTTTCCACCTGCAGAAGAAGCGCTGGCATAATGCTTACAGTGTGAGCATCTTTTCAAGCGGAGACAGTAATGACTTAAGAACGTTCAAGGTGGGTTGACAGACTAAATGAGGGATGTCATCATAAAGATCTAACTAATTTTAGTACAAAACTGTTCAAAGTTCATATTCATCACAGTATCAGCAACACTCAGTATTGTCAGTAGTGACAAAATGCATGCTTTGAACTTTTTTTGTTTTTGAAACAGACAGTAATTGAGGACATAGCTGAAGGTTTTTGAAGTATTTCCAGATCATAATTGTATATTTTAAATTCTAGACATAAAATGTGCAGGTTGTATCTTTTAATTGTGTGCTGTTGTGTCTTGTAACTGTTAGTCACAAGGTTTTTCCTCCAGCAGTATGAATCCTCAGGCCTCGTCCACATCTACAGTGACATATTTGTGTGCTTTTTTTGTGAAAAAACATTCTAGTTTATAATTTAAGGTTGCCTAGCAACGTTTCCATAGCTTGTGCATTACTTATTACTTAATAGTGTCCAGCGGAGGTTTCTTGTAAACAAACATTTAGTGTTACAAAAATGCATTGTGTTTCCTTGAGGTGTAACAAATGTGCATTTCCTTCCTCATAAAACATTTACAAAGCTGTTTTGTAAAGTATTTTTAACCATCACTGTTTACATCCATGTTTATTAGCGTGCAGTCTTCTTCTTCCCTGCCTCTCTTACAGCATATCATGGTGGTTGATCAGTGGTATAGAGTGACACCATTGGTAGGACAGTGCAGATGTACAAGACAAACAAAATGGGGAGCCAACACAGAGAAAAACAGCTCCATAGAGCTACTAGAGGTCTACAAC